TCTAACTTTTCCCCCCTGAAATATGCATCAGTGCTCTGATAAAATATTTATTTGAAGTATCATTACGGTTTTTTTTTTTTCAATATAAGATTCCACTCTAGAATATTCTTTTGTCGGGGTAATTGCGAGTACACGAATCATCCATATATGCCGGGTCTCTGCTTCGCCGGAAGTGGTAATGCGAGGGAGAAACTCAAGGTCCCAAGGTCACTTCCGGTCCTACGAAGGGTCATCTGGAAAAATATAATAAACTATTCTTACATTGCTTTGAGATTCGTACCCGTTTTGTATACCTCTATAATGTGTAACATTATGCGTCACACGAAATATTGTGCGCACGATGAATTAACGATTCACGTATCAATTAACGCTAAACCTACGATCGACAGGTCATTTGGACCTTTTAAAGGCAAAAATACGTTTATTAAAAATTGGCGGTAGGTCTAGTGTTGATAACGAATTATTTAATGAGTAATTATGTATCTGCAGTCTGCGGTTGGACGATGAATTTTGCACTCGAGAAGAAACCGACACGGGAAAGACTATCTGATTTTTTCTTTTTTTCTCTTTTCCTTTCTTATTTTTTATCTTTTTTCCTCTCATTGTCATTCGATTATACAATATGCAGTTTTTTTATTTGTTACTTAATTTCCCGACTGGCCTAACCGGTTATATTGCTGATTCAATTGTGTCACTACAGTTAATTACCTATGAGTTTATTAATCCATGATGATAACGGCACGGATAATTCAACTCTGCTGGTATGGATACTCGTTAATTTGTCAGATCGTTCGTTAACGTGGACCCGTGATAGGATTACAACATTTTTCTTGCTACTAATGAATAGTAGTCTCGGTTCAATGATATTTAATTCATCCACGAGGTTTACCTTGAGTGATTAATATTGTTTCCATTGACGTGGCGCTGTACGTCATTGCGAAGTCTCGCGAATTACGCAGCGACACTCGCAGTCAGAGAAATGCAATAAATATACGTCATTCGTTTAACATTTATCAGTAGTTATGGAAATTAATAAGCATTCAAAAGACAACTATTGCGCCATCGAAAAAAAACAATGGAATTACGTATATTAATAATTTTTGAAAAATTTGTTATTTAATTTTTCTTTTTATTGCTGTAGAATTGTTAAGGATTTGGAAGCGTGTCATTTTTTTCCCAATATACTTAAACATACTGCATTCATTTACCAAATTTTTCTTCGCGCCTATCTCTACCATTCTGTATATTACTTTTTAATCAAAATTAACGTTAGACTGCTTCGAAATCTGACTGATATAATTGATACAGTTATATAGATCTGTATACATAAATATATTGTATATGGTGTACCTATATATATAAACTGCGATGCTGCATTCCTCATGCGAGTGAGTCACAAAAACAATGGTAATCTATTGAAAGTCGCAGCTGCTATCCTAAACCGTTTCTCTCTATCGCATCTGCTATGCTGGTATACAGGGTGACTCGAAAGCAATTTATTTTACCGCTTACAGTTTCTTCCATTTGGACAGCACTTTTTCGCATTTTTCAGTGTTCACGGCATACACAGTGCTTGCATCTTTAGGTTTCTCTCTTTTTTTATTTCCCTATACCGTCCTTCACTATTTCCTTCTAAAACGTCGCTCACCGTCTGCTCGTATCCCGGTGACCATTGTATATACGAAATCGCAGGTATCGATATATGAAAGGAGAAGGACAAGAATGAAAGAAAGAGGAGTAGAAAGAAACCAGTGGGTAACTCTACACATATAACTCGATCGGGCCCAGTATACGCACACCTATTGGTCACTCGCCTGCCCGTTACATACGATACAAAACGTAACGTAACAAAGAGTTTTTCCGCTACTCCGTATCGGTGTTTCAGTCCGCTCGAAAACAACGATAACTCCTGACTGCCTGGGTCATCTCTGCAAAATAATACGACGTGTTTTTCACGACGTCGCAGTTGCACTAGTAAAAGTCGATATCGATTTTCTTTGCAGCTTTGCGAAAAAAAAACGAATAAAATACGTCGAGAAGAACGCATGGGTCTAATTCTTGGTGTATACTTTGGAATATTTATTTTTCACTCGTACCCATAACCTCGAAATACCATTTGCATGCTCGCGGTTTGAAAAGTAATGCAAGTTAGAACGGCTCTTGATAGCCCAACCTAACCTCGGCTCACTTCAATAGCAACGCTGTCACGCAAGTCCGTAATGCCGAAACGAATGCGGTTCCGTTTTTAATGGCGCGACGGGTGCCTCGATGTCTAGAATGTCTCAGCGATCGATTCTCTACACGAATGGCGGAGAAAGAAAGGCAGGAATTGGAAGGTTGCATTCGAACTCTCACCGTATACCGGTGACCCTTTGTGTAAGTTGCATGCGTCGCACGTTGGACGCCGACGACGTCGGCTTCGGATACGACGATGTTTCGCGTTCAATTGTCAGAGGAGGATAAAGAAAGTTATTCCTCTCAATTTGACGCAATTTAAGGGAATTAAGCGTACGGGCGGGAGTGCGGGAGTCTCGTACTCGCAGGCGTTGCGCAGCGACGCCTTTGAGATTTGACAGGATGGACTGGCTGTACTTTCCGAAGGTTCCCTCTCCTCCCTCTTTCTGTGGGCATCCCAATTCTAGAGGCCCCTATAGATGCGTTGCATACCTGACGCCATTGTACGAATTTTCTTTAAGACTCCATTACTCCAGAGTGGCTTTGCTGCTCTCTTTATATGTCCTGGATAGATCGAAGATCAGAATCTAACACGGATGCTTCTAGATATTTATTACGTCTTCTAGAACCTTCTGGGTTTTCACAGTCCTTGCCAATCGTTACCAAGGTAACATTCGATATAAGAGTTAAATTAAACTTTAATAAAGATTATATCAGTCTACTTAAATTTCATAGGGTATCGATGACGTCACTCTCCAAAGACACTATTTTTGCGTAGTCAATATATTTCGCAAAATTTTTTATACCGTTAAAAAAATTCTGCTTTCCATCTAATTTTTTGGTTGATCTACAAAATCTAAAACGTACGTCAGTTAAATCTATTCGATCCGTATGATATCCGTTTTTGATACTCCTATCTCAATCTTTATGTACTTGTAGGGCAAGGGTGGTGTCTGGTATATACTTTGAGCATGATACACTCATGAATTAATCGAATTTGTTAACTCGTTCATTGCGTACATTATACTCTTTTATTAAGCTTTTCTTTATATATCCGTTACTCTCCGACTGAAGCTCGCATCCTAGATCCCACTGTAATGAATACCTATCAATGCCATCTATCTATATCTTGTAGTAGGAAGACTGCCCAGTAGTATCAATGGCAATATGGTCAGGCATTGGTACAGTTGACTGCAAAAGTTTTCTCGGGCGATTAAAAAGCGAAAGATACACAAGAAAGAAAACAAGGAAAAACCTGTGTCAAAGTTTTATACGAAAAACGTGAATTGTCTTATTCGTATTGGCCCAACCGATTAGTCCTAAGTGGGCCATACAATGGGCTCAGAATTTCATTACGTCAAATCGCATTTATTTTTATTTTAATATTATCTTTCTGGGTCGTGTGCGCGTACTCTTGCACTCGGCCATTATTCATGCTCTCGTTTATAGATATTATTTTTATCTTGTATTACTCACCGGCCTGTAACGAAGTCGCGAAAATTTAGTTTCTTAATTGCAAAGCCTAAATCGTTTACGGCAACCGCAATTTCCTGCTACACAAATATATATATTTATATATGCACAAATTAGCCGTCCGTGTAGATATTGGGGTGACTTTTGATTTACAGGAAGCTCAGTATCAAACACTAATGAAATTTTAAAATTTCTAAAATAACGTTATGAATGAAATGTGGTTCAGAGTAATAACGGATATGACCAGTTTTTTACATGTATTTTTGCTTATTAGTTATTATGTAATTACGCTCCTAAATGTCGTAACGTGATAAAATATCAATGAAAATCTAACCGGAAGGATGCTGAACTGTATAATAAAATTACGTCAAAATTCGTTCAGGAGATTCTGAGGCTATCGCGAACAGAGAGACCGAGAGAATAAAATCGATTATAATTTTTTCCAATACCAATATTTAAACATTTGCGTGTTTTTATAACTCGTTAGACCTTCCTCACGTGAATATAAAAAATAATTATGGAAAATCGATTCGGTTTCACGAAAGTTAAGGTAGATAACCTCATTTGATTTTCAGCTTTAGGTTTCAGCTTTTCAGGTTCGGATCACAACATCTGTTCCACTTTGTGGGGCTAACTCCTTACGAAGCGAAACATAAATAAGTCCCCTCAAAGTGGTACTGATGTTTTGGTTCCACTATATATGCATAGATGGCAGTTGCGATTAACTTTATCTTCTTGTCCTTTGACCTGGAACCATTATACCTGAATTCAAAAACTGTACTTTGTTTTACGCTGGTTGTAATTGCAAGTGAACCTTGCGTACCTTATCGATCGCCTTATCTGTCCATTAGCAGTGGGATACATTATTAATAACACGGTACAAGGCAGTGTGGTCGCTGGTTGTACCGAAGTCGGATATCCAGACTATGTCGGTTGCGTGAGACGCCAGGCGTCGGTCTCGACGTCGAGGCGCCTGCTTTACTTTCCCTGGTTTTACCCTCTTCTCCAGGCAGATACCCTATATACCTGACTATCTTTCCTAGGATAAAGTATTAGGTGGGTACCGAGTAACGTGTATTTATACAAGTCCACCGTACTCTTTTTACCCTGTTACTATGTCGAGGATTCTATTTTAACGCCCTTCCTTTTGCCTCACGTGCAACTACCCTTGCTATATTCCACTTTCATTTCCTGTAACGTTGATACTACGCCATGTTGGAACGATTCTGGTAAGTGAAAGGGAATAGGAAAAAGCGGGGAAAATATTTTTAAAGGCAGGGCAGCCAGAGCCCCAGAAGAGGGAGCTGAATTCGTGAAACTTTAATGATTTCTTTTTTTTTTTATTGTTCCAGCGGATTGAACTTCCAGGATCTCATGGCTCGGCAAGGTGCTATCGATTCGCCACCGAAAACGCCATTTATTATGGGATCAGAGTGTGCCGGTGACATTGAACAAGTTGGCGAAGGCGTTGAAAACTTCAAAGTGAGTAGATTGACGTTTGAATTATTTTTTTGAAAGATCGGAAACTTTTTTCTGGAAAGATGTATATAACGAATAGGGCTATTTGCTCTAACAACGGTATTAGCTCGTGGGAGAAGAAGACTTAATTGCACTTGTCCGAATTTAATTTTCTGTTTTCCATTTTACTCGAGAAAAAGAGCTCCTCGAAAGTTTACCAATGTCCGAAAACTCGTTATCGGATGCAAATAAGCATCCTTTACGCCGTATAGATCTCAGAATTTTCTGAGGCTTCTTACAGGATTGCGAAAGTCACAATGAATCTCTGATACGTATAATTATACCGATGACGTAAGTTTCGATTTTTCAGCCTCGATGGTTCCTAGAAACGTCACTTTAATCGATACGATAGCGATGAAGTTGCTTTTCTCACATCAATGACTCAGATCATCGGATTCATCATTATTTTCTCTACAAGTCCCAACAGCTAAATGACAATATTATCGGTATACATTCAGTAAGAGTCAGCATGTTTTTCATACAAACAGAAAAATAACAAGAGCCTAGGGGATTATGCACTTTTGGAAAATTCTCTTACGATACGAACGACCACCGCGTACAAGTATTTATATCGTCTTAAAGGCGTTTGTATTCGGAAAACGCAGTACTCGACGTCTTACAATTAGAGACGCAGTTTGGTCGTTCTGTTGCGTCGTTGTGCGTCAGCACGTACAGCGTTGAGGGGGAGAGCGAGAGGAGGAAGATGGGGTGGAAGGAGTGCAATGCGAGGGGTAAGGGAGATACCGAGGGAAAGAAAAATGAAAAATTGCCGTCTCGTGACCTGGCAGAATTAGAGAGTCCTCTCTTGTTCGATTTTACAGAGCGAAACCGAGTCGTCTAAGTGACTACTTCCATCCTCTGTGGTTGCTAAATGACTTTCCGTTTCTCCTTGTATACGAAAAACTTATCTCTGCGGTGGGTTCAAAAATGTTCGTTAAGCTGTTTCATCTGCTTTTACTATTTCTCTTGCATTTTTCGTTTACCAAGGACACGAGTGATGCGGATTTCTTCGTCTCTTGAAAGCGGTCAGTTTTGTTGGGATTTTTCTTCGTTTTAACTTGGAACGCGATAGTCGTCTGTATATTGGATACGTATCTTGTCTGTGCTATTAACTATTAACGGGTAAGCGATTGATAAGATTTTTCAATGGTTTGTTATTATGGATTTTTTTGCTCCGTGTTTTTTTTTGCGGTTTTAGAATTCATCATACGTATGTTATTGAAAAATAAGTTCAGCGTGAGCCTCGTGCAACATGAGAAACACAAATCTCTCGGGTATTTTTCCATAGTTTCACGACACCTTGTAGAGAGTCCAGGACGATGACGACGTTATAAAGGCACATACGCAGAGGGCGCGTTTCTTTTTGCAATCTTTTCGTATTCGCCAATGATTTATCGGGAATTCTTGAAGCGAGACCCGCAACACGCGTGTTTCGATAGATAGATATACATATATAGTCGTGTAACGAAGTTGTAAAGAATTGATGAAATTGGGTTTTTTTTTAATCCACCATTTAGGTTATTCAAATTTGTATAGAGATAATTTTTTCATGAACGATATATTATTGGACATTTTTATGAATCGAGTGAAATTGTTTTTTTTTTAAATTCAGTTTAGTGTAAAGGGTTAATTTAGGTTGTTAGGCTTTAGCAGGTATTTTCACGTTATTCTACAGCGATTCATACCAATGGCACACAGGGTGGTCTATTTTCGCAATGTCGCGAAACCTGCTGAGGTCAAAGTCGGGTTCAAGACCGGCACGTGTAAACGACCCGGTGGCTCAAATAGAAGGGGTGCTTATGGAGGGTAGTTTTACGAGCCTCCCCCCTCCCGCCCCCATTGGCTTTCGTTCCTCTCTTTATAATACAGGGCACAGCTACGGTCGAAATTGACGACACGCGATTTTGGTTAATCTTTAAAGAACTTCCGCATCTCCTCGTGAAGTCTGCGTGTCCTTATATCACACGAATCTAATAAATCATATCAACTAATTAAAGAATCTGTTTGTAAAAGCGACAAGTCAACTTGAATATTAATATCGACGAACGTTTATTTTCTCATTCGACGACATGAAAATTGTTCCTGACTTACAAATATTCCCAAGAGGTAATAAAACATTTTATGAATTCCAAGGAAACACTGGGGGAAAAAGTATTCAAGACCGACTGTATATTCTGACCTTATCTACTATACGTACGACACAGTCAAATCCTGGTTTTAGTAGTATGTAATTATGAAATCCAATTAGTCCTTAGCACTTGGAGGCTTCCTAATCCAACGAAATTGCTGTTGTCTTCTGCGTATCACTGAAGTCCTTGTATTTTATCCAGGTTGGCGACCGAGTAGTGGCTCTACCAGATCACAAGGCATGGGCTGAACTTGTGACTGTTCCGGCAACATACGTCTTCGCCTTACCAGCAGGCATGAGCTACCTGGATGCTGCAGCCATAACGATGAATTACACCGTGGCTTACATGCTTCTTTTCGAATTGGCAAACCTATCGCCTGGCAAGAGTCTCCTGCTTCACAGTGCAGGTGGCGGTGTGGTAAGCGATCTTACAATTTTTATTTTAATAAAAGTTCTATCTCAAGGAACACGTTTACCAGGAGCAAATAATCAACTCAGTATTGAGTTGACGAACTTTTAATTTGTTCACATTGATGACCTCAGCTCACTTGGTGTTCAACGTCACGTCCTCGTTCTGGGATCCTTTAATCGTCACGTCGTGAGGATTTAGAAGGTCCTTGGAAAAATTGTGCCGAACCATCAACAGCTTATTATTGCCTCGCCGTTGTAATTGGTTCGTAGGTTTCTATCGATTGGTTACTCTCCTTGGTGGTTTGACATGTCAGGAAGATTGAAACAGGATCCAGGAGAGGACTAAAGATGTTCTTTATCATACTACATTGTAGTCTACTCCATTCTGTATTCTTTGGGCGTACCATGATTGGTATCAAGCTTCTGAGAGATTTCTCATGCAATATTGTAAGTCTGTGGATAACGTAGAGATTGTCCTTTCATTCTAGTTTACTTTAGGATTATCCGGTGCCTTCTTCCGGAACTGGTTTTTATTCCGTATTATACCATGGCTTATCTATTTAAGTTTCTGGAAGATAGTTTTAGTTAGACGTCTTCTAGGTTGGCATCTTATCTGATATTATTAAAGATATTGCTTAATGGATTGAAGTTTGATAAGGCGAGGAAAATGTTTGAAGTCGATGTGAAAAGAAAGATACCGAACGAAAGCAGAAACAGCAACCAGCAGCATCACCTTTATACCTTGGCATCGCCCAAGATGATGCTAGTCGTCGGGATCAATACGGCTCAACAGGTTACACCCTGAGCGAAACTCTCACCATCATCCACCCTCATTCTCTATCCCTTTACTTCCAGCTCCAGATGCGCCGCTACCTCCACCTATCCCGGAGTCCATGAACAGAAGTTGAGAAGATGAAATCTATGGGGGATACTGGAATGGGGGTTGTTGCCTAGCAACCCTCTCATCGACCACCTACTCGGCGACCGCGCCCGTCTGAAACCACACCACGTGCCACTTTAAGCTCCGTTCACACCTATGTCTGATCAACTTTACCGGCGTTCGCTACCGATTTATGTTTTCTTCAGCGTCTCGAATTTTACAATAAAATTGCCTCAAATTATATCAGAATTATTTCTCTCTGATAATTTGAATGATGATTGTGATTATGTATTACTTGGAGAGCCATTTTTTATATTAAGTACAATATCCATCTATTTTGTAGATGCTTTTCATCAAATTATTCATGGGATTCTTATCAAACATTCAATGAACTATTCCATTGATAATGGATGTCTGATTTCTTCTTCTTGGGGTCTGATCTCATCTCTGTTATGGACAAAGGGTCTGATTGTAACGTATAAGGAAGAATGATTAACGAGATAAATGACTGTATCTAATATAATCTTGAAATCCTACCCTGGTTAAGTTCAATAGACCTTCACGGTCATTGGGGTTCTAGTGCAAGGGATAGAAAGTATAACGACAAGGGAGTTGTTTAAGGAATCATTGTTCCTTTTGGGCAGAGTCAAGTTTCTTGGCTATTCATGAGTTTCTTAACATTTTTTAGTGCTTTCTTTTTTGTCTCTCTTGATATTTTTATCACTTGGTCAGATATTAGAGGTCCTCGCGAGAAATTGATACAGACGAGGAAAACAATGAATACAAAATTAGATCCAAGAAAGTGCATAATGAGAATTTTTCTTTGCTGAATGAATCTATCTTTTACTACGTAATTCATTTCCAATTATTATAACAGAAATACATTTTGCTCCCAGCACATCCATTTCAATAATAACACTATTCTCTTCATTGATTCTTAGTAGAAATGGTAATGTTCCCTCATGTCTAGTACGAAATTTCATTTCTTATAATTTAATCTCTTCTTCATATCAACTCCAAAATGGGAGAGTAATAGGAAATTAAATTTGCCATGTTCTGAATTTTTCGAAATGTCATTACAATCATTCAAGAGTATATCTAAATATTTTTAATAATTCAAGGACCTTTCTCATTAAAATGTTTCTTCTGCTTTTACACTTTTTTTTTGAAATCAATTCCATTACGCACTATAGTACCCCTTACTTTTTATTTTTTGTCTCTCTCTTGACTATCCTTATCGATTACCCCATGTCCTAGCATCATCAATACCAATCATAAACTACTTTACTAAAATTACAGTGCTGACCAAAACAACGAATTGGCTTCTATGGGCTTAGGTATCTTTTCTCCAGTGATTACACCGTCTGACTCTGTTTCCCTGCAAACCCCATGAAACACATAGCATACAGAGCAGCTATTTTCATCCGTCTCAGTAAACAAATTATTTTTACCAGATTACACAGCAATGGTAGTTGACTACTTCTAAAACAATTTAACTGGACTCGTGCGTTCTTATTCTCGTTAAACTGGCGCCAGTGAACAGTATTCACAGGGGGTGTAAGGGTACATTATATTTTTAGAAAGTTAACCCCTATCGAGTATATGGTCTCCTAAAAATACTTTACGAGCCATTGAATGTCTATTTTTATCCGGTTTCCTCCTGAGTTTCACAGTTGCAATTTATACTTTCTTTTTTAAATATTTTATAATACGTTTGTACACTTAGGGTAATTCACTTTTTACGCTCTGATTCTCTATGTTCTTAAGGGTTTTTCTTACCAGTTAGATACTCGTCGTGTCCACGGAATTTTTATGCTTAACTCGAGCCGCCGATTTCAGGCGACTCTTTAAAATTCTGGGTGGGTACGTTTTTCCTTCCTTTTCCATGAACCGCCCGAGGAGATACTAATGATAACGCAAAGGTATTAACTTTTTACTATGATCAGAGGTGATCATGGCACTCGAACATTAAGAGGAATTTTTTTCAGAAAAATTCATCAATGCGTTTTTTCAAGATGGCGGCGAGAATGGAAAATTTTTATAAAAATCTTAATCTTTTGTTTTCTTAAAAACTATAAACTTTTAAAATAATTTCTAAGAACAAAAATGTCTTAAAATTAGTCAAATAACACTGTTAAATTTTTTCAGAATTTTTGGAGACAATTTTTGATTTTTGAAAATTTCAAAAAATCCAATTTTTCAAAAATACCTAAAAAATTTTTGAAAAAATTTGAGAGGATTCCTTGACTACTTCCTTGCTGATTCTGTACATATACATTGTTTTTTTCTACTCTTAGCATTACCCAGAGACAACGGCGTGGACGTGGTAGAACTTTGTCTCCTTTGGGGTGCTTTTTTTTTCGTGAGTCCCCTTGCCTCTCACTTTAAACTTTCTTTTATCAGGGCTTTTTTGCCCAACAATTATTGCATATATATAGATTGCATTTTTTAGGTATTTTTGAAAAATTGGATTTTTTGAAATTTTCAAAAATCAAAAATTGTCTCCAAAAATTCTGAAAAAATTTGAGAGTGTTATTTGACTAATTTTAAGACATTTTTGTTCTTAGAAATTTTTTTTAAAAGTTTATAGTTTTTAAGAAAACAAAAGATTAAGATTTTTATAAAATTTTTTCATTCTCGCCGCCATTTTGAAAAAACGCATTGATGAATTTTTCTGAAAAAAATTCCTCTTAATGTTCGAGTGCCATGATCACCTCTGATCATAGTAAAAAGTTAATACCTTTGTGTTATCATTGTGAAAAAAAATGCGAAAAAATGTTTTTGTCGAAAATTTTCACGTTTTTCACGTTTAAATCGGCCATATTTTTTTTTCTCGGTGTCTAATCGAAATTTTGAGCTCAGATTCTGAAAGAGCATCAAATTCCGCGTAGGAATAGAGTTATTGCATTAGTTTTTTGGTCCGATAACATAATAAATAAACACGTTGAAAAGTTAGTCAAAATTCTGATCACCTCGGCGTTAATGGGCTAAGAGGAGGGTGAGAGGGCAAGTTTCTCTTGCAATAGGAACGAAGAGGAGGTAGAGGATACAGCGAGGCAAAGAAGAAGAAGAAGAAATAGAAGATGGAGCCAGTAGTATACGCTCACTTCTTGGAAATAATGAATGCCAGTTCTGTTGAAAATCTTGTATGGCTCGGCTCAGCAGAATTTCTTTTCCAATGGACAGTATCCCTGTATCTTTATTTTCTCTGACTTTTAGTTTATTTCTTTTTTTTTTTTACGTTGCAAGAGGAGACCGATGAAATACGTCGGAAAAGTATAAAGTCTCTTACTGTCTTTAAATGAAAGGTCCCCTTTATCGAGTCCACGTTACTTAAGCTCGCTGGAGTGTCATGAATTGTCGGAATTCTGATTTTCTGGTCTTTCTATATACTACTGACGCCCTCTTAACTCCTAGAACATTACGAATGAGATATACGGTTATGGCCTTTGATGAGAGGAACACTACTGTTGCTTGTGAAAAGGCCGAACTGATACGAAGGAAAATTTTTCTTAAACTCACTAATCGTTATATCTTAATGATCCGTAAGATGGCCATTGCTTATTTAATGATAATGATGAATGGTATATGATTATTCTTAATGGTAAACAATTTGGAACGAGAACGCGAATTTGCGTTGTATGGTACATTAGAAACTTTAAATTAACGGATACCCAGTTTCGACAATGTTTTCGGTTAACGGACGTATATTTTTGAAAGAACTATTTCGATTTGGATATCTTGAAATATGTTTAGCATGAGTCTGTAATATATTATCCCTATTACTGATTATATAATGAGCACTTTCTAAATTATTAAAAAAATAAATCAGTATAAAAATATTAACTGTTCTCCATTCTTCTGTATTTTAGGGTCAAGCTGTGGTGCAGCTTGCGAAAACTGTAAAAGACATTACAATCTTCGGAGTTTGCAGCAAATCGAAACACGAGGCTCTCAAGGAAGCTGGTACAATTGATTATCTTCTGGAACGCGGCGGCGACTACACCAGTGAAGTCAGAAAGTACGAATCCCATTCTATTAATTAGTATAAAAATCTATATATCAGTGTTACGATTATATTTCGTTTTATTGTTAATTAGAATCTCTAGTGACGGTGTTGATATACTTCTGGACTGCCTCTGTGGTGAGGAATGTAACAAAGGACATGCCCTATTAAAACCAATGGGAAAGTATATTCTATACGGAACCAGTAACGTGGTAACAGGCGAGACCAAGAGTTTCTTCTCGGCAGCACGTTCCGTGAGTGATTCAAAGGATGCTAAAAATATATTGACTTGGTCCAAGTATGAATCTTCATTCATCGTCTTTGATTACAGTGGTGGCTAGTGGATAAGGTATCACCGATAAAGCTCTTCGACGAGAACAAGACACTTTCTGGATTCAATCTACGCCACCTGATGTACCAACATGGCGGTCATTCATTTGTACGACAAGCTGTTAATCAGGTGTTTAAGTTATGGAGCGAGGGCAAGATTAAGCCAGTAGTAGATTCTACGTGGGCTCTAGAAGACGTTGCTGAGGCCATGCAGAAGATGCACGACCGTAAGAATATTGGTAAGATTGTCCTGGACCCAAGCATGGAACCAAAACCAAAGCCAGCTACACCAGCCAAGGGTAAAACTAAGGACAAGAAGGCAGCGAGTCAGGAAGAGAAAAAAGCCTCCAGTGTTGAATCTGATGATGGAGAGAAGAAGAAGGAACCAGAATTGACCAATGGCACATCCGAGGACAAATCTGATACTGGTTGGTATAAATTTATGGTTTGGAAATATTTTTTAAACATCTTTGTTATATTATACAAAATGTCTTATTGGTCATTGTCATACTTTTAGACTCCAAGGAGAAGGAATCCAGCTGAATCCTCAGCCAGAGCTGAGCTTAAGATACGAGGTTAGACACGAAGCAGACCAAGCAACCCGAGAATAGAGAAAAGACAACAGGAAAAAGATAAAAAAATAATAACGAAAATACGAGGAAACAATGTATCTACCACTGCAAAAGAGAGCTGCGTACGACATCCGTGATCACTATAAGAAAGACCAGAAGGAGGACGAGGAAGTGTAAACTTAACTTAGTGATAAATCATCATCCCCGTTAAATGAAACGTAGTCAAACATTTGGTTAAGTACATTCAAGACCAACACAAAACTACACAAGTAACACGATAATAAACTACACGCAATTTAATATAGAAGGTAAGACCGAAGCGAGCGAGCATTTAATATAGTAAGCCATGAAGGATTAAAAAAAGGTCCAAGAAGGAATTAAATAGAAGAGATCAAACAAATTAAAACAATGAGTTATTCACGAATTTAAATCCGCGACGCTCTTATGTATTCTTTGAAACGAAACAAAGGTAATGAAGGGAAAAAGCGACAGACTGGATATTTACGTTTAAATGCGGAATTTTCGTACGATGCCGTTTTGCTTAGAGAGGGAATGCAATTTCGTTTCCTTCTTTGACAACGTTGTGACGTGCGAGCCGATAACACTGAACACACAAGAGGAATCGTGGCAGGGCTGCTGAGCCTTCATATTCTTGTAACAAAGAAGCCAATCGCATCGGCGCCGTTTTACCTAGCTTCGTTCATTGTTTGCAACTTCGTCGAGGACGCAGAGTGTCTGCTATGTATTGCGAATCCGTCGTGTGAATGTAATATCGTTATATCAATTTACATGTATATTTGGTTGCGCATGCGCTGAGAGACAGTAAACAAAATTATTACCTCGAGTCACTTAAGAATATCGACTGAAGAATATGCGCGCCGATCTGATTGACTGAAACAGCGTGACGAGGACGATTACGACAGCGACGATGACAAAATGATAAGGAGAGGAAAGAGAAAGAGATGAAGTAAAATAATCAACCAATATATCAATTTTGACGCGGTCCACAGTAGTCTAAAATACAAAATATTAATTTTATTTTTAATACCTAATAGCTGAACAATTAATTTTTGCATACCTACTACTAATATTTGTAATACTATTGCTACACGCTGCGAGTTATAATTGTTATTCTCCAATATAATAACACTATTACTAGAAACTAATACTACTAAATACTACTATATCACTACTACTACTACTACTCTGCTGCTGCTGATGCTACTACTACTACTACTACTACTAGTATTACTACTACCCCCACTACCACTATTATTATTCGTGAACTTAAAGGACGTGTACTGGAAATTATTTTTTTCTTTCTCTTTTCTTTTCCAGTAGTATTCTCTAATGATTACGAAAATTCATAAATGCAATGGTGAGATCACATCCCCTATATTTATATAATAAATACTTTTTCTATGTCATATTTTTCGCGGTCATTACAACCGCAAAATTACCATCGCGCTTTCGACTATTTATTCTTTTATGATGCTCTTCTTAGTGATTTGTATTCGAATTGCCTACGACATTCGCGACTATATTTATAATAATAATAAAAATAAAGCGTTGTGGCGAGACTCGTGGATGCAATCGCACCGTCTAACATAACAAAACAACTTGTAATTTCTACGAATTTTCAAATGATGATCGAGATAGGCAATATCCTTCCCAAGTTATCACGTCGAGTCAGTTCGGACATATAAATAGGGAAATTGTTTTGTTTTTTCCACGTGTGATATAAGATAGAATGTGACGTAATGGGAATAGGAAAAGGACTCGTTGAGTTTCTGTTGTAATCTCAAAACGTCACGTACGGCAAGTTGGCAAAAGTCTTCGCAATGTTTTTTTTTCACATTTGATTTCTTTTCATACCCCTAAAATATAACTAATAAAGAAAACGGAAGTCCAAACCCGAACTCGGGCGATCGAAGCTTAAGAGCTTCGATGTCATTTTTCGAATTTTATTTCATAGTCAAAAAAGGGCTCACTTTAGTGTGTTCCCAAATACCGTAGTTTCCACACGTGACGGGGTTGATCTAACGCATAGAACGGCTTTTATTCCCCAGCCTTTGAAAGCCCCTCTTGTGCAATTTTGTTTCTTTTATCTTCTTCGTTACATACAAAGTTTAATCTCGAAACTTCAATACAATCAGCCTCGATTGCCTGCGTTCCACCATATACGTAGAATGCGCAATCGACAGTAAATAAAACGTATCAGAGATTAAAAATGGCCTCGTAAAATTTTGCTATACATTTTACACTTCAATCTTACAACTGCCAACTGAAGTAAAGTGAATTTCTAATTAAAAAAAAAGGAAACTTTTTACAACAAATTCAAAAAACTAATACGCTCATTATCACTGCGGGTTACACACAAGAGAATTCGAAAATTGAAAAAGAAAAATACAGAACAACTTGATTTGCAGCGTAACGCATTAAAATTATAAAATTTGTTAAATACGAATTCGTCGTTGTAGTCTAACTCGCAATTGGACTAATGATCGAAATAGTCACATTAAAAATGACGGATTATAGATGGATATTTTTCCAGCGGCGAATACGACGACAAAATGTGCATATCTACGTAAGGAAAAGAAAAAAAGACATGGATCAATTTTTAAGTAGCCGGTTCGTTTAGGATTTGATACTACTTGCGCTATACTATATTCTATACACTTGTACTTTAAATTAGCGTGTGAGAATCGTCATGGAGGAGAGTATCTTACCAGTTTTTTCGAATATTCAAAGCGTGCGACTGTCTGGCGTGTTGTCACGCGATAAAAACGCTAAATGCTATTAACCTAAATGATGAAGGAAAAAGAAAAAAAAAAGTATAATAATAATAAAATAAAACAATGAACGTGCTATTCTCTGTAGCTCCTGCTCTCTCGTGCAAGAATAGGCAGACATACATAATACATATACAACAAATATTATATATATATATATATATACATACACACACACATAAACGCACACATGCCATACTTACACATATATAGGTGGACAAAAATATAAAAACAAAAAATATCCAGCATTTCATTGTACCGAATTTATCGTCGTTCGATTTTCGAAAAAAGTATTTTCAAAAGATATCAATATTCGATGATAATACGTAAGGCAGTAGTTAAAATTGGAGGGAATAACTTTGCGATAATCGCGATGGAGGCGCGCGCGCATCGTGCATAGAAACCACGTGATTCGACATGCATAAAAATTATGGGGAAAAGGAAGGGATGCAGAAAACGGGGAAATATACATTATAAGGAACGCGAGCGACGGCGACGCAAAATGATGAGGTACACGACACGGACACCGTAAAACACTGTATATTTTACGTAAGGCTTTAAATGTTTCATCAAATAACTATCTATTATATTATAATATATCTATATATTTGTATCAACCATTTTCCTCTACCTTTTTATTTAGTTTTAAACACAGTGCGATAATAGCGTCGTGGATTCAGTTGAGTGGGACGACATTGAGAATTCGAAAAGAAACGAAATCCTTCTCCTTTAGCAAAGAGTTACTTTCTTTTCGAATCTTTACTAAACCACCTACATTCTAAGTGCGACATATGTACGATGTGTAATATATATACCATATATATACATATATATTCTAAGAATTATATTGTTCTCGGAGCCACGACGCTGCTCTCGCGTTTTAGATGATAATTTAATTCTCTTTCTTTTATAATTTTATATTAATTACATTACATCTAGAAGACGCAAAGAGTCTCGCGTGCGATCGTCCATTTGCAAGGGAAGAATCGATAATTTTTTTCTCTACGATCTCGCGCCCGTCGCCGCTCTCTTTTTAAGTTTTTTTTTTGCTTTTAATGTCGAATTCAAGTCACGCGATACGAAGATGCACGATCGAACGCAAGACTAGATTTTTGGGTATCGCGAATAAATTGAAAAAAAAAAGAAAAAAACAGACATTAGTTTTCTAATTGGAGGATCTATCGAGCGCGTAGAATATTATATTGACGGTCGAGCAACCGCCAGACGAATTCGAACACAGTTTTTGCGAAATATTTCAAACGCACACGCATCCTACGTTATGTTAAAACGACGGGACGATCGCTGTATGAATTTTCCGTTTTGAAGAACTTGAAAATTTTGGGACACCGCGCGCTATTTCGTATTCGCCTAGAACAACAAGTCGTAACGTTTGTTTATGTGTAAAATTGTAAAATTTATCGACGGGAATGTAGGCGAAATTTTTTACTTTTCGGCTCTTTGGACTTTTATCATGAATATACGATGTCTTTTTTTTAACACACACTTCACCTAAACGAATCTTTGTGATACGATTCTTGCGGAGAGAAGAGAGAAAGGCTGGCATAAAATGGGTTGATGCTGGATGATAAATTTTCGCCTGCTTCCCGTAGGCTTGATATATAGATTGTATTTTTGGCTTATTATTGTAAGACTGACTATGTTGCTATATTAAAGATTGCTTCGAAGACATGACGCTTTCATTATATATACATTAATCTTAATTCAATATCTTACCTGGTATATGAAGTTGGTTATAACATTTGGGTATGCTATAACATTTTTAAATCGATTTTATTCACAATATCGATTGTCATCAAAATTTAGAATTAAACTTCACACGTCAGTTTGGTCTTAGCTGTCTAATTAGTTGTGACAACGTGGGAATGGGTTTTAACATTTCTATGAATGGCAAAGAATCTTATCAGGGAAGGGTTATTTATCGTGTTGATGACAGGGAAGCACAGTCTATAAAGAAAGTGTGGAGATACGTCGAAAGTAATCTTCAGAGCTGCGCAACATCCTTTTACCAAATGTAATTAAAATCTTGATACATTTTTTAATACTGATTACAATGTTTGGGACCTCGTAGATTCTTTAGAAGTCATCCAAAGTACGTGAAGTATTTCCGCGAAGATAATATACCGGAATTTGTACTGGATGCGAGAATGCAAAAAAAATTTGGTACAATTTGCTCTATATTGAGTGCATTCTTTATTGATTATTACAATAGACCTTCCCAGAGAGAACATCTACTAGGATATATGGCTATGGTTCATAAAGATATGTTACTGACATCAATTGACTTTGAAGTAATCGTCTTGATATTAATTATATTGTTTAAAAAATGGACTTATGCTTTTAATTGATTATTTACAGAATTTCGTTATGAGTTTGATAGACATGCTAGTACGGACGCAACCAAAACTAATGTCAGCTGAATGTACATTGGCTCATTTGAAATATCTTACTTCGTTAACTAACAGGATGCTGTATCTTATTGAACTGCAGATGCAAAATGACATTGCACAGGATAATGACGCTCAGGAGGAATCAAAGACGGTTTTAAATTTAAATAACAACGTTAATTATATGTGTCAATAATGCTCTGTGTGTTTATGATGTCAGAAGTATATGCACTAAGAATTTTAATTTTTTTTAGAGATGTCGCTGGTTTAAAAGAAAAGACAATACAATTATGTATGGGCGACCTTTGGAATATTGGCAAGCACAGAAAAGATATTGGCACTCGAGACTCGCACTTTGGGCATCCTTAAATGATGAATCGTACTTGTCCATTACACGAAAACACGGAACGATTAGTTTGTCGCTTTCAGTTTTAGAGAAAAATAAAGAAGAGCTTGCAGGTCATTTGATGAATAGAAAACCTGATAACTTAATCGTAACACAGATACACAGCAGCACTGAGAGTAGCGACATGGTCAATCGTATAAAAGGTAATATCATTAACATACACATAGTGTTCATTTTTTAATTGTTTAAACAAATTTTATTGGCATTGATGTCTGGTGTCAATAACAGAAGCGCATAGAATTTTTCAAGCTAATAAAATAGCGAACATCCCAATTTTGTCGCATAATGAAAAACAGCCGCAAAGAGATAGAAGACGTCGTTGGCGAAAATCTGATGGCAATTTCGAAACCCTCAGTTTTAGTCAAGTTTCTCACACTGACGGGAAACGGAGTATGCATAGATCTTTAGAAACACAACCCAGTAGAGTACCTATAAAAAATACTCAAGCATTTTTGGATGCAGTACAGGCATTGAAGTCGATGAAAAATACTTCTGATTCGGAGAAAGGTGAGTATTGTGATTGTAGTATTAAGAACATGTGATTTTTTAGATGTAAAAAAAAGTCGTTACGTAAGAACTAATGTTTTGACTTATATATTTAGTATATAATTCTATTAATACTGTGCCACATGTCACACGTTTTTCGGCAAGAGAAAGAAAAAGACTCAAGGACAATGTTCGACGGACTCAAGATACGCTGGTAATAAAACAAGAACTTTCAAAATTGCCAAATTGTCTTTCGCACAATGTTTTAAAGAAAATATTCTTGCAGGCTTCGCCGGAGAAAGTCGGAGCGAATACAAGTAAAAATCTTGAGGTATCTATACAGTCCACAATTAGTCGGGATGCTGGAACTTCCACGGTGTAGGACTAATTATAACTTTTGTATATCTTTGAGATTTATCAAAAATTAATTTAAATTCTTTACAGTTAAAATATTTTAAAACAGTATCAGAAAAGTGGGGGATTACCATCTATCCCAGTGATTACCCTTTCCATAGAAAATAAACTCCTGTCTATCGTTTCTTACGTTCGGATATTAAGGCTGCTGTCTGGCTGGTTTAGCTATATATATTGCGTGACGTCACAAGCGAGGAAACGTATTTTCCGTTATTCTCCTTCATTTCTAAATGATTTAGCAAAATCTTTGATGAGCCCGCTTCGTTATGCGATACGGCTGGCGGCTCTTCTCAATTTAGGTGCGAAAAACGTACGTAAAGAAATCGTGCATTTCTGACCTGTCAAAACATCATAGGCGCCGCCATTACGACCGTTCACTAAATCCCATTTTTCTGCGAATCAGGACACTCATCACACTTAAATCGAGAAGAGTCGCCTTGCTATGGACGATACAAAGCCGGCTGATTAGATTCGGCCCGTATTTTACTATCTTGAGAATCCAATAGATGGCGCTAGCTGTTCCTCGCCGTAGATCTCAGTAATGTGAGCAATTTACGGGGCCCGTATCATAGTACCGTTATGTCAGAACTACATACACATATAGTATATGTGTGTACCAAGTTTGCTGGCGAAGAGCTAAGCCAGCCTAGACGCTTGGCTCGACTCGCTATATATACTGTAACCTTATTCACACGATACGGTTCTAAGGATCGTGCCAAAAAGGCGGGTTCGAGCCAGAATCGACTGTTAGGAATTTAGGAAAGATATCAGGCGGAACAAATGAAAGTGAGATTTCGTTTTACAAATTACAAAAGAAAAATATATTGTCCTACAACGGAATACAAGAAAGGTTAGTGCAGGTCCAGCCTAGAGAATGCTGGATGTTAGTAAGCGAAGAATAGATATAGCGGAAAGTAAGAATGATTATAAATAATATATACAACAGTTTAGTAATCGGACAGTCAATTGTATCAATACGGTTGTTACACGCAGTTTACCTATACGATATGTCTGACGGGAACGGAAATCGTAGGTAAACTTCTAGTCTCGTGTGATTCTATATTGGCTCTTATTCTGATTGTATCAATGAAATATAGAATCGTGTCTAAAAGCAGCCTCCGACCAGCGGAATTTGATTACAGAGTTGACTCGTTAAAATGTAAGCGTCGTGCTGTTGAGCAGTCTTCCACAAGGGAACTCGTGATCACAGGTAGACGTGGTCCTATCAAAAACAACGCTGCTATCTTGGCGAGGTGAGAAGTCTCATTCGCAAAGTAGCTAGTTGTGCAAGTCTTTAAACAAAGTTATGATGGCATGTATAGCGGAAACGGCACAATGATCAAATGTGTCAAAGTGACGGCCCAACTGAAATACAGAGATTGATTCTATCTGGCAGAAGAGACGGTTTGCTCCCTACCCGAGACGGTTTGCTCGATTACAAAAGTAAAAATACCTCTGGAAATGATGGTCAAGTGGGACGGTTTGCCCGCTTGCCCGAGACGGTTTGCTCGTTTACTTTACTAAAGGTATTTCTTACAAGGAGAGTCTCCAACAATCGGATTTTTGTAATCTTTTTTACTTATGGTACGTGAAGTTGAGAATTCGAATAGTAATTTCCCAAAGCAGGTCTATGTCATATTAAAAAATTCTCAAGAAAGTCAACTTTGAAGTTTTGTGAGTCCGTATGTGCATCAAATGTGACAGAATATTTAAGCAGGCTATTTAACGCACACGGTAACGCTCGAGCTTAGCGAGCGCGGGGTCGCTAGTTCGAATCTCACTTGTAGCTTCCGTTTTTCCATCCAATTCGCATAATTACGTCAATTAAATATAAAAATCACCAGATCTATAGCAATTCACAGATATGTAATTGTAATCTTCAATGAAAATCGCACGTTTTATTTTTAATTATCTCGAGCTTCAAAAATTGCACTTTTGAATGTAAATATGAGTGTTTAGCTACCAGTAATTATAACAAACAAGATTTTTAGAGCGGAAATGAAAAATGATCGAATTCTCTTTACTATAAAAGCAACTTGATAAGAAAAGTATTGGGGTTGAAGTACTGAACGCGCACAATAAAAAAAAATTTCTTGAAAATTTTGTGAGGTGCCTGGCACCCTTTGCGAAGAAACCCCCAAATACTGCAGCCATGACGCCTCTGTCAGAGCTTCGTACTTTCGCCACCAGTCAACGCTCGAGTCAACACC